ACAAATAAATAAATAAATAAGTAAATAAATAAATAATGTGATGAAACTCACTTTGCCTTCTTTCCATCTTACATTTTATGAAACACCACCAAACAATTTTCTTTTCATTTTCTCTGCTAAACTCAAATGTTTCCTAGCATTGAGAAGGCTTTGCCAATCTTATCCCTAACATCTTCATTAACTGTGAAACTTCCAAACTTTGGCCAAGGACTTCCTTTTTTGTTTCATCACTGCAGAAACCAGAAAAGCTATCACTGAACTCTCTCCACCACATATCTATTAGAAGTACAGATGTAACAAAAAGAAGTCCTACAGTCCAAATTAATCTTACATTGATCTGAACATGACTTTCTGCTGTGCTTCAATTCCAGTTCTAACAACAAATTAGATCCCACTGATTTTCGCTTCTATGTAAAGATATACGGATCAAATTCAGATAAAGCATTTCTATCTTACATTGAGGGACAGTTGCTTAGCAATAGAATCATATGGGATAAGATACACTGAAAGAGTTCACTGAGCTAGAGTTTGTATAACCATGCCATAGTAGTGGCTATGAAGTTCACTGTGGCTGAATATTTTTGATATATTCAATTCTTTTTCACTATCTGGAAATGAGAAAATCCAAATCAAGGAAAATCTTGCATTGTAATTGCCTTACAATGCAACCTTGTACTTGTCTATTTGGAAGCAAGTCCCACTACATTCAGTGAATCTTACCCCAGTAATGTGTTCGCTTGATTACAGTCTTCATCTTTTTTTAAAAAAACAACAACTGGAGTACAAAGAATTTGCACCACTATATATGCATAATGTATAATTAGGTTAAAAGGTACATAACACAAAGTTATAGAAAGCATTTGCATTTCTCAATATGTAAAATAATGACACCAATATTTCATTAATTATTATTTTCCTGAAAGGATTAATGCAAAGGGTTTCCAATAGCCAAAATCACAATAATAATCATGTTACCACAGAAAAAAACTAAGCCAGATGATATGAGAAAAGTCTCCATGTAATAAAATTTACCATATAAAGTCTCGGCAGTGTGAACAATAGGTTGGTTGTCTAAGATAAGTGGCCATAAACTTGTGCCCATTAACCTGATGGACCCTGCGTCGCACTGCCCCCTGGCGCTTCCTGGGGCGCATCCGTTCCCTAAATACTCTTTCTTCATTGTCTTTGGATGCTGAAGGAAATAAAGAAAGAGAGAGAGAGAGAAAATGGAAGAGATTAACAAATATTAATATTCCAGGCACAAAACAGAAGAACAGAAATAAAAAAGCAGAATGCACAACTTCAAATCAATTCTCATATATCCAGGTTTTTATATGTATTCCACCACACCACCATACTCTTTTTTGATATAAGTATTGTGAATCCCTTTATTTTAAAGCAAATGTTTAATATGTATGATTGTACTAATCAACTTAATTGTATGCAGAAACTTCATTAACCTAGTGCCTATGAATGTATTGGACTTCAAATCATTCCCAATGGGCATACTGATTGGAGATCAATGCATTCAGAAATCACCAGATTGGAAAAGGCTGGTGAAATATTTGAAGTCATAAAGAATTCAGCGATGCAAATATAATTTTGAATTCTTTTGGGACTAATGCACTGATAGTTGGGAGGGAGAATGTCTGAGATATTAAATTTGATCAATTATGTCCCACCTTTCCTCCTGGAGTTTAAGATGATTTACATGGAGGTCTTTTATCCTTACAGTAATAACCCTATGAGTATTTTGGGCTGAAAGAAAGAGAGAAACCCAAAGTCAAGATTCCCTCACTGAGGATGGATTTAATCCAGGGTCTCCCAATGTTTTCCACACTGATTGCTATACCACAATAGCATATTTTCAAAAGCTTGGGGTTCAGTGAATTTCACCAAGACATCTCTCCACAATTTCTTGGAGAAGTCTTGATAATAGATCTTGCTGGAGTGAGCCCTTTTCAGGATACAATGTGCAGATAATAGCTTTCTGCAATTATGGAAGAGCTGACTAGGCTGAATCATAACACTGTCACCTACACCTGTGTCCAAGATCCAGCACCCAATCCTTTCATGACCATTAATTCTCAGAAGTCTATATATTGATTGATTGTAACAAAATAAATCACATTATATCTCTCCCCTTAATGAAATTGCAGGATAATAATGCAAATTAAAACAGCATGAATGTGAAGCATCAGCACCCTATCTGCATTAGATATATTGAAAATTAATTATTGAGGTGAGGTAACAGCTAATTCTATCAACATGCCTCCTTTCAAAAGTATAATAATCAGCATTTTTCCTATAGTTGCTTTAGGCAAATCGTATATAAGAGCCAACCATTTTGTTGTTGAGAAATTCCCTTTTGTGCATCAAAATACTGGGATTTTGTATTTTGCATTTTTTGTTTTTGTTTTAATGGAAATGCAGTACTGTCCCCATCCCCCCCCTTATCTTCAGTTATTGCATTAATCACAGTTGCTGCGGAAGCCATGACGTGCAGCTCTCTCTCTCTCTCTCTCCCTCCCTCCCTCCCTCCTTCCCTCTCTCTCATACACATATGCACATTTTGGCTACCAGCTGTGTTTCCAGAATCAAAGCAAAGCCATACATGCTATGCTGCTGCTTCCCACTGTGTTACATTTATCTGAATAAGTGTCTCACAGCAGCTTCAACCCCAGTTTTTGGGTTTGCAGGAGGGGGAATCATAGAAAGGACTTGCATCATCCAGCCCAGTTGAAGAGGGACATCTATGGGAATAAACCCAAAGGATTCAACCTGCAGGTGATGAACTCACCTTGTATCATAATGAAATATATAGGATGAAGAAGGATCAGGACATATTTCCAGACTTGATGCTTTGTGTTTGAAAATGGCCAATGTTCAGCTAATCCCAAGCTACTACTGTCCTACAGAACCCTTAATGCTCTTAGGAAAAGTGTGAGCTACCACAATGTGAAGGGCAACACACCTGAAAGATTTTCCCAATTACTGAGATCTGCCTCTGAGATCCTGTTTTAGTCTAAATGTGTGGTGTGTAACACCCTTAGATGACAATCAGTTTTTACTGAGGCAGCCCAAGTATCTGAGAGCACCATGGGTAAAAGACTTCATAGAGACACCATAAACTTCTGGTAAAAAAAAAAATCCTCTAGAATTTCCATTATCTTGTATTTGGTTAATCTTGTTCAGATACACAATGGTTGTAGATCAGAGATAAAATGCAAATTTTGCATGAGTTTGATCCATGAACTCTCCAGTCAAAAGAACTGGTTGCAGTTGAGGAGAAGTATACTTGGAATAAATTAGCCTTTCTATAAATTATGATGTCTTGAATTTATAACCTAACAAGTCTGGAAGTTACTTGGTAAATAATCTGATTCAGCTCAAAATTTGACTCAACTGAATAGTGAGATGTTAGAGGTAACAACTCACAGATGATTGAAGTTCCTCTTCTTTGAGTGGGACTCCAATGTACAGAATCTGATCTGCTATCTTCTGAAGTTCCTTCCCCTGATGTTGTAAGACAAGATAAGCAACAATTCAATGTGCAAGACAGTTTGCAAAGAAAAAAAAACGGACAGTCTTGGTATTTATTTTTTCCTGCTGTGTTTTGTTAAATTACCACGGAATATTACTACTGCTATTCCCTTAAAATTTAAGGCGGCCTTCTGCAATAGTTGAAATGTTTAGTACCCCATTTTTTTAAAAAAATTAACTAGTTAGAAAGAGCCAGAGTCTCCCAAATTATTATCTAATGAGACACAGATGAGTTGTCAATCTCCTCTCACATACAGGAGGAGAAGATAGGATTTGCCAATCCAAAGATGCAGCAGTCCAACTATAATGTTCTAAATGAAGGTTCAAGTGATCACTTGATCTACATTTAGAAGAGGTATGCAATACCTCTTATAAAATTAACCTATGCCTATTCAATTAGAGTACAAGTGGTAGAAAGAGCAACTAAATGAATTGTTAAGAACAACTCTTGTACTCTTCATCACCGACTATAACATGTGGAGCCTCATCCCACTATATCAAAGAGTTGTCCTAACTCTATCATGCCCCATGAGACTAAAAGTAGGCAACTTGGTGCCCTCCACACCTTTTGGAATTCAGCTTCCATTAGCTCTAGCCAGCAAATACAAGGTACCATATAAACTGTAGGTTAAAATATCAAGAAAAAAAAACTAGTCACCTCCTTGTTTTTGTTTTTTTTAAATAAAAATCATTGATGAATAGGTTACTGCAGCCCATGTTGCAGAATGGCATGGCTCATAGTGTATAGAGATTATACAAATGCAGAAATGCAGGGAATCTCCAACAGGATAGTCAATAATAGGATACAAATCAATGATACAACTCAGCAGAAGAAAATTATAGTGCCCATATCTCCCTAAAATATGTTCTCTGCCTTATTTTCTCAAAATGTGGCAGTTTGCTTTAATATAAGTGCCAGGTTTGGAATATGTATGCTTTTCTTTATTTAAAACTAAAACTAAAGAAATACATAGCATTGTATTTCCAACCTGCTTTATGGGACTCTAAAATAGTCACTTGTGCCAAAGCAAAATCAATGATGTAATGAAAAATCATTACTTAATTTAATTTTTGGTACACACTCAATGGAATTTAGGAAGGAATTTAGTAACAAGGTCTGATCCAGCTAAAGAGTGCCAAAATGCATTAGCGCAAATCCAGATAAAGCAGCTGAGCTGAAACGAAGTAATTTAGAATTAGAAGTCAATTATCATTGGGCAAAGGACTAAAAAAAAGGAGTGTTGCTTGCACAATATAGACCAAACATGACTGATCCAAAGATGAGCTAGTTCATGTCTCACCTCATGTTAGAATGCAGCGTTGCAGCAAGCCTTGTGATAGCATTGTTTTAGGTTGCAAACCAGAAATAGGATTATTTTGGAAAAGTCATGTAAGATGCACTCATTCTGATATTTTTAATACTGTAATTTCTAACTCCCTGGGCTTCATATAAACTCATTTTTAATTATTTTTTTACCAATTGACCAGGGGGAGAACTTAAAACATCTATACCATAACCCATACACTGAGAGATGTAATTTTTAAAAAATGTTTTAGTAATCAGACAGATTCTGCCCTTCTGTTGGCTGGGAAGTCTGAAGCGGTAATTCCTATACATCTAAAAAGGCATGTCAAGGACGGTTGTTTATGTTACCTGACTTTCAGGATTTTGAACTTGGGATCCAGTGATTCTCCAAGGATACTTGCAAAAGGAAAAGTGATGCATTTCCTTTTACCTAATGAAATGCCTTTTGATTGTTCTTGCTGCAACTATTGTTTTGTACATGTGAACATTTGTTTTGAAATTTCTCAAATATAATTGTAAGGTTAAAAATCTAGACAGAATTAATACCATTATTATGGTTGAAAAATATATATTTTGGAGCAAGATAAAAGAGACCCAATTTATTGGAACTTAGGGTGAAAAAAATCAAGCTTCTCCATTTAAATAGAAACTAACTCTTCTTGACATATACTCTGTTTGGGGTGTAGCTCACTGAAGAAGTAGGCAACCTTTTAAATTGGGGCGCTGTACAATATTTAGAGTTCACAAAATGGCTGCCCCGGAGGACTTGCCTACAGTATTCTCTAAATGGCTGCCACTGTCAATATGTTCAGTCAGAAAATGTCTATTTACTAAAGAGTGAGCTACTCTCTCCACTGATGTTTTCTAAATCATTTGGTGGATTTTTTGTTGGGCTAAAACATATTCTTACACACAACTAAATATGATGCTAGAGAAGCTAGTGTTCTGCTTTGCAGCACGGAAGTATATTTAATTTGTTGTTTGCTATTAGTATTTTTTTAAAAAAAATCAGGTGAGATGGAAAGTCTGAGCTAGCTGGAGACAATTGGGTGTCCCTGGGGGCCATGTCTCTTATCTGTAGATTTACTTGCTTAGCATGATGTCCAAGCAAAACCCACCCACCTGTGTGGTATTGTATATTATGTATCTATATCCTTTGAAGATTCCAAACGCCTATGTTGATATCATATGGGCATAGAGCACTGTTCATTCATTTTCATTGAACTTATTCATTTCTCAAGATTTCTCTTCTACCCAAATTATAAGACATGTGCCTGAAATAAATTCTGACCTTTCCCTTTTCTCAGCTGCTACAGAAGGGCTGAGGGAAAGGGAAAGGATGA